TTTAAATCTTTCCATTTCCCAACTTATCACAAGATTTAGAGCTAGAAGAAAAGATATTTCAATGAAGCACCCTCATTCTACAGATGAAGAAACTGGTGCTGGGATAGATTGTAACTTCCCAAACTTTACATAGGCTGCAAGTAGAAGAGTTGGGATTTTAAATCTTGGTCCTCCGTGATAATTTTGGATTTTAATCAGGTTCTCTGTGATGTGATGTGTAGTTATAGCAAAACGTATTTTCAGAATCCTGCCAATTTTTAAAGGTTCTACATTGCTGGGTGGCATGATTTTTAACCACTTTTGGTGTCACACTTCTTCCTCTCCACCATGCCCCCCCACCCCATCTTAGATTATCTGCTGGTTCCAGAGTCTCTGCAGCCCTCAGAATTACTTCTGAGTGGGGAGTAACCACCCTAGAAAGTCTGATGAAGGCCTGGGCCAGTCCCAGAGGGCTGTGGGAAATTCCATCTACCTCTTGTTCTCCGTGCTATGAAACTGCCTTGACCTTTACTTGAATAGAGTAAATGAAGAATTGTGTACAATAGATGGTACCTTTATAATGATGAAGCAAATGTGGAAGTGCTTGATTACATGTCAAGTCAAGTCAACAAGCATTTATTAAGTGCTTAGTATCAGCCAGGCACTTTGGAGACTGGGAGATTAGAAGATATGGGATGAATATTATCACAGTTAATATTGTTATTAAACAAAACATTAGTATCTTCAAATATTAAATACTTTGATGAATTCATGACCTCATTGGATAGTACATCTATGCCTCTTGTCACATGTGATTCTTGTTTATCTCCTTCTATAAGGCCTTCCTAGATCTACTCAACGCATTGGAGACCTTCCTCTGGGTCTTTTAATATTTTATGAATTCCAGCACAATTCTTTGGTGGCCCATCTGTTCTCCCTTGCCCTTGCTATGTGACACATCTGTCTTAACACCCTTTCCTTTCATGCACACTCTTGTAAGAAGATTGCTAACCTTGACCTCCATGTCTCTGTGGTTGGTAAGGTGATCAGTTACTTGCTGGGTAGATCTTTAGACATCCTTGTTGTGACAAATTATTTTACATTGCTGACTCCTCTAAGAAAATGAAGCAAGCAGAGTTCATATCATTGCTTGTAATCTTCTGTGTTTGAAGCTGGCATCATTGAAATTTTCTATAAGCCACAAAAGTAATAAGTTCTCCACGTGCCTCAGGTTGTTTAAAAACAAACCCAAAGTATATTTATTTGTCCAACATCTCTTCATTTCTTTTTCTATTTGATCTAAGGACCAATAGTGGGTCTATTTTCCACAGGTCTATCTGGTACTTGGATCTTTTTATTTTATTTTATTTTATTTTTTTAGGCAATTGGGGTTAAGTGACTTGCCCAGGGTCACACAGCTAGTAAGAGTCAAGTGTTTGGTCTGAGGCCGAATTTGAACTCAGGTCCTCCTGACTTCAGGGCCAGTGCTCTATCCACTGCACCACCTAGTTGCCCCTTTGGTACTTTGGATCTTTTAAATAGAAAGAAGAATACTAGAAGTCATGCGCTATCAAGAGAGGTTAGGTGCTGTTGAATGCTGTGGGTGGGTCCAGTACTGATATTCCAGCCAGGTGTAATTTTTGCAGGTTTAATAATGTTTGGAACTTATTGGCAAAGCACTGTCATGGATCCTGTATCACACGCAGTGTCCTAAAAGTCTTACTACAGTTTTAAGCTTTAAAACTGCAGTAAAACTTTTGGGACACCCTGTATAGTGCTTGGAGGTTTAATAAGGTGCTTATTACAGAGCTAATCTTATTTGACTAAGCGTATTTCTAGGTAAAAGTAATACTCTACTATTTTACTGTAATAGGATATCCTATAGCATGCAGTTCTAGATGAGTGTATCACTGCCTTGGACTTTATTATTAGAAGCACCTGAATGACTTCTTCCTAACATTATCTCCCTACTGTGAGATTCCCCTCATTTAGCAATTTTGCATCATCTGCATTTCCCTCTTTCACAGTCTTTCTACTCTGATTACCATTTTGGCTGCTGGTAGAAATAATTAAGCAAAAAATGTCCTGACATTTGCTCTTTCACAAACATCCCTGTTGAATTCAATTCATTTCATAGAATCTTTGAGCTGGAAGAGACTTTAGTTGATCATCTGTTCAAAGTCTCTCCTTTTACTTCCTGAGAGTGGAAATAATGTGCCCAAAGTTACAGAGTCAGGGGGAGAATGAGCACTAAAACCCAGGCTTCTGCCCTCCAATTCAGTGCCCTACCCACTATTCTATTTTTTAGCTGTTGAAACATCTTATTTTATGTTGTGAGATGTGCAAATCCAGCAAAACCATGTTGTTAAACACTAGTACATGTATCCAGCCCTGTACTAGGTACACAGGAATGAGGAGAAAGAACTGGCCCAAAGCTTTGTGTTTAGAAGCACTTGATATGGGATTCCATGATTCCTGACTTAGTGGCACCTCCTTCCTCTTAGCCCCCTACCCCCACCCCATTACATTCACCATGGAGAAACAATGACTCAGTGTTATTTTTGTTAGAACCTTATGTTAGGAAGAAGACAGCTTGCTATTCTTCAGGTTTCATGAATTTCTCATTATAGGAGCCTTACAGGGCACAGAGCCCCAAATGGTCACATTTTTATCCCTAGTCTCTGTAGTCTGGTGAGGGTGGAATCTGGCAGGTAGACAAGCAGAGCTGGTGCCATCCTTAATCTCTCCACTGCTGCTGCCCCCTTTAGATTTTCTTTGCTGCTAACTTGCAAGGTGATGGGGTGATGCAGGCTGTGCAGTGGAGACATTGTGAGTGGCAGGATGCTTTTTCTTCTGGCTGAGGGTTTCACCAGGTTGGAGGCAATACCCTTATAGCTAGGGGCTCTCATTACCCTGATAGCCTAGGCTTTAATAGTAAGAGGTGTCTTCTCCACAGTCAGTGGCCTGTGCAACTACGTGAGGACCTCAGATCCTGAGTCTGACTCTCTGGCCCTTCATTGGTCAGGATCTGAAGAAGGAGCTATCTTGCTTTCTCATGTCCTTGAATATTTTTATAGGGGCTTTCCAGTGTTGTAGGCTTCTCCTTGGGAAGGTCCCTGGAGTTGGAGAGAAGAGGATCTGATGAGTCTGAAGGGCTTAGTTCTGATAGAAGGATTCCTTTACCCCTTCAGGGACAGAGACAGCATTATGGGATAGGCAAGGGGCTTATTGGAGGAATTTGGATGCATGACTTGCAAACTGAAACTAGGTAACATATACATACCACTTATGATTTCTTGCAGGGTCACCCCACAACAGTGCTCTTTAATGACTCTGCTTCCATAAGCAGAGTCCATACCATGAAGCCACCATCATGAAGACATGGGATTTGAAGGGGTTTTTTCCAAGTAGAAAGAATGGCTCATATTTGTGGGATGGTTGGCTAGCATGAGGACTGTACTGTCTATTACAATGGGACAGAATTCTTTGTTTAGAGGTAACTAGGTCTTATGGACTTGCAGCTTCATTATGCACACCTAACCCATGCTTTTAGCAGCTAGGTGGCACAGTGGAGAGTGCCAGGCCTGGAATCAGGAAGACTCATCTTCGTGAGTTCAAATCTGGCCTCAGATACTTACTAGCTCTATGACTCTGGGCAAGTCACTTAACCCTGTTTAACTCAGCTTCCTTATCTGTAAAATGAGCTGGAGAAGGAAATGGCAAACCACTCCAGTATCTTTGCCAAGAAAACCCCAAAATGGGGTCACAAAGAGTTGGACACAACTGAACAACAACAGAACATCAAACACGCATGCTTTAACTAGCTGGGTTTACCAGCCCAGAGTTGAAAAACAAAACCAAACCATAAAACGACCATAAGGTAATGATTTTTAATAGTATTGCTTGGTTTAGATTTCTGGTGAGTTTTATCATTTCGCTTTTCTTTGGTTCTAAATCTCTTCCTCATTGTATTTCTGATAGAAGGGATCTGAGTCAATGATGATCAGTAGATCAGAGAATTCTAAAATTTTTAGAGGCAAAAGGGATCTCAGTGGCCACCTTGTACCCAAAAAGGAATCCCCAGGATAACATTCCTGACAAATGGTCATCCAGCTTCTGCTTAAAGACCTCTGATGAGGCAGAAGCCTCTACCTGCTAAAGACAGCCTCTTACCCCATTTGGATAGGCCTAATTTTGGGAATTTGCCCCTTTGCAACTTCTACCCCTTGTGTCTGTTTCTGCCCCCTGGGGCCAAAAAAGAATGATAGCCCTCCTTGAGTTTTCCCTTCTCTAGACTAAAAAGTCCTAGTTCCTTCAACTAATTATCATATAACTTGAAGCCCTTCACTCTCCTGTTTGCTGTCCTCTGGTTGCTCTCAAGCCTTTGATGTCATTCTTACTCTGTGGCACTTAGACCTGAACACAGCACTCCAAATATGGTCTGACCAGGTCAGAGTACAGAGGGACTATCACTTCTTTATTATGGGCCTTATGCCTCTCTAAATGCAACCTAAGGTGGCATTAGATGAGGAATAAAGAATAGAAAAACCAGTGATTTCAATCTGAAAAAAAAAGTAATTTGTTTTATAAGTTGCAGTTTTGATAAAATATAGTTTTATATAAAGCTTATACTCTAGCTGCATGTAAAAAGAGAGCCTTTGAGAAAAGCCTAATGGATTATATTGTTTGTGTATTGTTGATAGCTCCAAGTTAATTACATATTGTTAAATAAGATCTTGCATTTCGGAAATTATGGTACTGGCATCTAATTAGCTTTAGTGGAAACTTTAAATTTTGTAAATAAATAAGGACTTAGTCCCACTTAATGAATTCACATTTGTACTCTGTTTTGTCAGTTATTAAATCGTGGATCTGATAAGATTAGGGTTGTCTTTGTTCTTCGTGTTTTCTGGAAAAGTAGATGAATTAATGTCAATGTTGAACTATCTGAAAAAATTCTGAGTGCTGTTAAAATGCTTAAAAATAAAATGATCAATTCTTTTTTTTTGTTTTCTTGACAGGATAATTGAAGCCATCTGTATAGGTTGGTTCACTGCAGAGTGCATTGTGAGGTTCATCGTCTCCAAAAACAAGTGTGAGTTTGTTAAGAGACCCCTGAACATCATTGATTTACTGGCAATCACTCCCTATTACATCTCAGTGTTAATGACAGTCTTTACAGGAGAGAACTCTCAACTTCAGAGAGCCGGAGTCACCTTGAGAGTACTTAGGATGATGAGGATTTTTTGGCTAATTAAGCTTGCCCGTCATTTCATTGGCCTTCAGACACTTGGTTTGACTCTTAAACGTTGTTATAGAGAAATGGTTATGTTACTTGTCTTTATTTGTGTTGCCATGGCAATCTTTAGTGCACTTTCTCAGCTTCTTGAACATGGGCTGGACCTGGAAACCTCCAACAAAGATTATGCCAGCATCCCCGCTGCCTGCTGGTGGGTGATTATCTCTATGACTACGGTTGGCTATGGCGATATGTATCCTATCACAGTGCCTGGAAGAATCCTTGGAGGAGTTTGTGTAGTGAGTGGAATTGTCCTGTTGGCGTTGCCCATAACTTTTATCTACCATAGCTTTGTGCAATGTTACCATGAGCTTAAGTTTAGATCTGCTAGATATAGTAGGAGTCTCTCCACCGAATTCCTGAATTGACATATCGCTGCTCTCCTGCTGCTGCTTGCTCCATGTCCGCCCATCGAAGAAACCATCAAGTCCTCCCCAAGAGCCTCTTGCTGGATGATCTTTAGAAGATTGTCATCAACTTTGTCGGGTAATTGTAATCCCGCCCAACTGAGGAGGAGAATATGTTGTTTATTGAGAAAGAAATAGGATGGAACCTAAGGAAGAAAAGTCATAGTGACTCTTAGAATGACAAGAGGAAGATTTCAGGACATTATTTAGACTTTATCCTCTTTGCCTTGAATAACTACAGATTTCCAAAAGCACATATTATTTAAATATTTAAAAACTTAAAGGTCCTATTTTCCAAATGTGTTTCAATGCTTGTACTCAGAAAAGAAAGTTTGGAATTTATAGTATTCTGGTTGGGGGGGGAAGCATTCTATTTCCTGATGGTGTACAGTTTTTTACATCATTGTCAGGAGTATCACAGAAATATGTGCCGCATGCAAGAATGGCTCAATGCATACTAAAGAGATTTGGCTAAAAATTTTAAGCTGTTGAGTGAAGCTATAAGCAAACAGGGATCATTTTTGACTCTTCAGCATCTGTCTCAATTTACTAGTTACATTTTGTTCTTATTATAATACTGTATATTATAGCTTTATTGAACTTTGAATATTATATTCCTTTATTGTCCAGATGGATTTTTCTTTTAATTGTTTCCAGATATATCTGTCCACATAAGTTACTTAAGAGCAAAAAGAACTTCCTGGGTTACCCTCTCATTAGATCATATCCTAACAAGTTGATGATATCAAAGGGTTTTTGCCCTAGTAGATATTGTGGCCCAGTGAAAAGAGTGCTGAAGCTGGAGTTAGGAGACCTGAGTTCCCATCCTGCCTTAGACACTTATTAGTTGGGCGACCATAGCTGGATCACGTGGCTTCTCAAAGCTTCAGCTTCCACATTGCTAAAATGGGGAGAATGATACGTGTACTATCTATCTCACAGGGTTGTGAGGAAAGCACTTTGGAAATCTTCAAGCATCATACTGAATTTTTAGGTGTCTGCATAAGGCTTTGGTTCCAACACTGCAAATTTAATAGATTGAGTTTGATCAGTAGTGGAAATGCAGCAGTACATTATCAGTGGGTATTCGGCTCCAGCTAAATACAAATGCATGTGGGTACACGTGCGCGCGCGCATGCACACACACCCCTATTGTGCTATTTTAGAAAAAAACTTTTCAAACTCTATGCTGAATGTAATTTCAGATGAAGTGACATTAGTAAGTAGCACTTCAGGCCAGTTAACTAAGATGATGTTTCTGTGCTGCCGAAATTTAACAGTTTTCTAATCAGAACTTTTTATTCAATTTTCTTAATGATTGATTTCTGTGTAATCAGTTGAACTGCCTGTGAAATAAGACTGACTCAGCTAAGACAGCTGAAAAGTATGAAACTTTTCTTTTCATCTGATATTTTAAATTGTACAGATAGGCATAAACATGTTGACTTCTGTCCAGTGGAAGATACTGATAAATATACTCATTGGGTTCAGTAGTTTTTAGACCTAAGAAAGTAAAACTGAATATTACTATGTTAGTGATGTTTCTGTGCCTCGATATAATAATACAGCTCCAAATAACTAGTTTGTTTTTGTAATCATTACTCCCATCAAGAAACTTGGACTACAAATCACTAACAGCTAAACTAATGGAGACACTATTAATTTAAATGTGATACATAATATTAATTTTTTTTAAAGTAGGCAAAATAACTGGCTCAAAGTAAAGACTTGGACATGAGGGTTTCATAAAGGAGCATGGTAATTAAATTTACTAGTACTGTCCAGGGTCAAGGAACAGTTCCTGATTTACTCTCATTGTTCCTAATTGTAGCCTGTCCCTAAAGTTATCTTTGAATCTAGTGAAAAGTCATGAGATTAGCCCTACAGGAGTCATGTGATGTTTTTTAACCCTTTAGTTATCAATCCTACCTTCCTAGAATTTTCACTGGTATATCACACTTCTCCTACCTCCATTTAAATATTCTGATTTGTTTCAGCTACTTTTGATTTGACTGTACTCAGAGTAAGGTACATACATTTTGTCTTCTCTACTTGGAATGAAGACTTTAGGAATTTACATGTAGATTCATGGAAACTGAGTTAATTAGAGCAAACCCACATCAACTGGGGAAAAAAATCTGAGCATCTCTAAATTTAATTGGCACTAGAAACTTTTCGTGTGTGCATGTTATCTCCCCAGTTGGATTGTAAACTTCCTGGGGACAAGGACACAATGTCTTCCATATTTTAGCACACAAGATAAAAATCTAAAGATAGAAATGACCTAAAAAATCATCTAGTCCTCCCTCCTTCCCTCACTCCTCTTTACTGGTGAGAAAACTGAGGCCTCTGAAGGATAAGTTACTCGCCCAAGGTTGTCCAGGTGGTAGCTGGGGTTGGATTTGAGCCTTGGGTCTTGTGACTCTGGAGATAATGTTCTTTCCACCATTTCCACTGCTTTTCTTCTATTGTCTTGCACAGAATTATGTTCAGTTGACTGATTGACCAAAAGAGCTATGTAAACAGACTAACACACTAACACATAAGTGCACAGTCAGGATGGCAAATGCTGTCCTTAAATGACAAACAAATCCCTCATTCATCCCTTCATGGAAGACAAACTTTACATCTGGCACAATACCAGGTTAGATGAAAGTGCACTGGAAATTCATTTGGCTGTTAATGAGAACCAAGACACGAATTTGTTCATGGGCTTTCAGAACATGTGCCCAAAAGTCTGCTCACGTGAACATCGTATTCTTTCAGTACAGATGCTCCTGGTCGCTTCTCACAGGGAAATACTTTCACTAAATGAAATTCTCTCCCGTTCAGCTAATTAAGGTTTAACAGCTTCTTTTCTTAGTTGATCTTAAAGATGTTCACTCACTCTTTTTTTTTTTAATGATGGAAATGTCTTTGTAGCATCTGTAGAGATACTGATGAGTCAGGTGCTATCCTAGATTAAGGCATGGCCCAGGGGAAAGATTCTTGGGTTGTGTCTGTGTGTCAGGAAATCTGGGACTTAATTATTTTTCAACCACTCACAGACTTGGGTCACTGTTTACTCATCTACAAAATAGGAATAAATTGTTAGGAAATTTCTTTTCAAATATTTTTTCCAATTACATGTAAAAAATTTTAACATTTGTTTTTTTAAAATGTTGAGTTCCAAATTCTCTCCCTCTCTCCCGTCCCCACCCTGAAACAACAAGCAATTTGATATAGGTTATACGTGTGCAGTCATGCAAAACATATTTCCATATTAATCACATTGTAAAAGAAAACACAGACCAAAAAGAAAAAACCCAAACCCAAGAAAAATAAAGTTTAAAAAAAGGTATGCTTCAGTCTGTATTCAGATTCCTTTAGTTCCTTCTCTGAGGAGGATAGAATTTTTCATCATGAGTTCTTCAGAATTGTCTTAGATCATTGTATTGCTGAGAATAGCTAAGTCATTCACAGATGATCATTGTACAATATTATTGTTACTATATACAATGTTCTCCTGATTCTGCTCACTTCACTTTGCATCAGTTCTTTTAAGTTCCCCAGGTTTTTCTGAAACCACTTCCCCTCATCATTTCTTGTAGTGCAATAGTATTTCATCACAATCACATACTACAACTTGTTCAGCCACTCTCCAACTGATGAACATCCCCTCCATTTCTGATTCTTTGTCACCACAAAAAGCTGCTATAAATATTTTTGTACATATAGGTCCTTTTCCTTTTTTTTTCTCTTTGAGATACAGGCCTAGTAGTGCTAATGCTGTGTCAAAGGGTAGTCACAGTTTTATAGCCTTTTGAGCATAGTTCCAAATTGCTCTCCAGAATGGTTGGATCAATTCACAATTCCACAAACAACAGTGGATTAATGTCCCAATTTTTCTACATCCCCTACGATATTTGTCATTTTCCTTTTCTATGATATTAGTCAATCTGATAGGTATGAGGTGGTACCTCACGGTTGTTTTAATTTGCATTTCTCTAATCAATAGTGATTTAGAACATTTTTTTCACATGACTATACATAGCTTTGATTTCTTCATCTGAAAACTGTCAGTTCATATTCTTTGACAATTTATCAATTAGGGAATGACATATTCTTGTAAATTTGATTCATTTCTCTATATTTTTGAGAAAGGAGGCCTTTATCAGAAAAATGTACTACAAAATTCCCCCCCCCCCAGTTTTCTACTTTCCTTATAATCTTGGCTGTATTGGTTTTGTTTATGCAAAAACTTTTAAATTTAATGTAATCAAAATTATCCATTTTATATCCAGTAATAGTTTCTATCTCATTTGGTCATAAATTCTTCCATTATCCATAAATCTGATAAGTAAACTATTCCATGCTCCCCTAATTTGCTTATGGTGTCATCTTTTATGTCTAAATCTTTTACCCATTTTGACTTTATCTTGGTATATGGTGTGAGACTGGTTTATACCTCATTTCTATGAAGTTGTTTTCCAATTTTCCCAGCAGTTTTTGTCAACTAGTGAGTTCTTGTCTTAAAAGCTTGGATCTTTGGGTTTGTCAAAAACTAGGTTACTATGACCATTTACTACTGTGTATTGTGTGCCTAATCTATTCCATTGATCTACCACTCTGTTTCTTAGCCAGTACCAGAAAGTATTTTAAAAGCAGACGTGAAAGTTCTATAAAACTCCAGTTAAGAGGATCCTAACTGATACTATACTTTGCTGAAGTTCTAACGGTCTCTTGTCTACATCCATAAACTGCCTTGCTTCTACAAAGGTAGAAATACTTTCCATTTTTTAGTAACAGGAATAGCATTCTAAACTCATCACCCAGGTATACTGCCAAGATGGCCTGCCATTGGGCTGCTGGAGCCCACAAGTCAAAAATAGAAAACAAACAAATAAAGGGAACCCTCAAACAAAACTAGGGCACTATTTCCACAATGTTGAGAAGAGTAAAACAGATGGAAATGTCAGGAACATTTTTGTAGGCTTCCATCCTCCAAGGTGCTGAAAGAAGGAAGGAGAAGATAAAAGGGAGGAGTGAAGGATCTCATGGAACACTGCCCACTGTATGGCATAGATAAGCTTTAGAGACAGATTGACTCAGCAGGAAGAGAGTCAAGGAGGCCATGTTTGCTTTCACTAAACACAGTAAGAGAGGGTTTCCTATGAATCAATCAATAAACATTTAAGTGCCTGGTATGTGCCAAGCACCATGCCAAGCCCTAGGGATACAAAAGGAGGTGAAAGGCAATTCCTGCCCTCAAGGAGCTTACAATCTATTGGGGAAGACAACATAAAAAGAAATATATACACAGCTGGTTTGTATACAGGATAAGGAGGAAATAATTAACAGAGGGAAGGTTCTAGAATTAAAAGAGGTTGAGGAAGGCACTCATTCAACTTTGGATTCAGATCTTTAACTGACAAAGTATGGGGATGATGTTGCCATTTACATTCTGAGGTAAGCACAGGTCCATTCTGAAGCAAGTTTAGATGTCCAAATCTTATAACAGAGTCATGCAAGCATATATGTTCAATTAATCCTAATCATGCTTAAGTTATCAGAGATCTTCCTAGTCTCCACAAACATTGCATTTACATAGACTATGGATTTTAGCCAAGAATCACTAAAGTAGCCCTAATTTTTAATTTCATAACAACAGAATATAAAGGGGACCTTTTGCAAAGTATTTTCTTTAGCATTTAAGGCCTCAGAATTTAACCTTAAACAATAACGTTCATTGTGAGAATGTTTAATTTTAACATATGCAGCAATACTTTCTTCTCTTTTTCTCTCTATCAAGAAGTTTTCCAGGGGCAGCTAGGTGGCGCAGTGGGTAGAGTACCAGCCCTGGAGTCAGGAGGATCTGAGTTCAAATTTGGCCTCAGACACATAATACTTCCTAGCTGTTTGACTCTGGGCAAGTCACTTAATCCCAATTGCCTCACTTAAAAAAAGAAGAAGAAGTTTTCCAATTAAGATATTCATGTGGGTTTCTAGCTACATGTAATAAATACCTTGTAACAGTTGGAAGTTCTAGGGAGCATTTGGGGGATATTCAGCCACATCTGTCAGTCAGCTCTAATTCTTTGCCAGCAATCAAATTGCAATTAAACAGAAGCCAAATTTACAAAATATTTGCAAAGCCAAATAGAACAGATTCATTTATCCTTCCATCTTTCACTCTTTTTTTTCCTCTCTCTTATCTTGTTCCCTTTGATCTTCCCTCTTTTCTTCTATCTTTTTAATTTGGTTATCTTTCCCCTCCTAAACTTTTCTTTTCCCCCAGTCATCTTCATTGTCACTCATCTTTTCCAAGATTCCTCCCACCTTTATTCTAGCCTTGCCCCCTTTCCCCAGCTTACACTGGACCCTATTTAAAACATAGTCACTTGACATACTTGAGGTGAGAAATCTCATTAATTCGCTATTAGTTGACACAAAGAAGTGGATTAGCCCTTCAAAGCAAGGTCAAACATCCATATGATTAGACAGGCTTTTCATACATCATTTGGTACTCCAACAGTATTAGGCTCTAGGGATGGGTGCCTCAGTTGAACTAATTGAACTGCTCTATTGAAGTGGCTGTGCCAAGGTAAAGCACATAATTCTTCAGGTGTATCCATTCTTTTCAATAATGGTAATCAAATAGATGGGGTTGTAGAGGCCATTGTTGGGAGTGTGGAAGGAGGTTTGAGAATCAGGTTGATTCTCTCACTTATGGATGCAGAGCCTGAAAGAGAGAGAATGTGCCCATGAGACAGTGCTTCCTGTATGAGGAAAAGTGACCCTAGGGAGCAGGGCAGAGCAGGAGGAAGAGAAAGATGCTTCTGTTGTATGAATACTAAATGTTTCATTCCATTACTCTATAAAAAGCCTGAGTTATTCACCTAAATCTGGAAACTCGAAGTATATATTCACAGAGTCTCACAGTTGAAAGGAAGGGAGGAAACAAACATTTATTAAGTAACTACTATGTGCCAGGCAGGCATCTAGGCAGCACAACAGATAAGAGTTCTAAGTCTGGAATCTGGAAGATTCATCTTTCTGAGTTCAAATATGACCTCAGACACTTACTAGCTATGTGACCCTAGGCAAGTCAATCCCTGTTTGCCTCAGTTTCCTAATCTGTAAAATGAGCTGGAGAAGGTGATGGCAAACTGCTCCAGTATCTTTGTCAAGAAAACCCCAAATGGCATCAGGAAGAATCAGACATGACTGAAAAGACTGAACAGCAACAGGAACGTGTGCCAGGCACTGTACTAGGTTTGATTCTCACAACCATCTTAGTAGCATGTAAGTGTGATTATGATCCCCATTTTACAGTTGAGGAAACTGAGGCAGACAGAGGTTAAATGACTTGCCCAGGGCCATACAACCAGTAAGTACCTGAGGCTGGATTTGAACTCAGGTCTTCCTGACAACAGGTCCAGCTTTATTTACTTTGCCAACTAGCTGCCTCTGAGGAAGGGACTTCAGCATACCTGCTCTTCCTTTCTCCAAAAACATGAAGATTTTTGAATAGATTCATTCTAAAAAAGTTCAACTTGTCTCATCATTTACTTGGTAGTCTTCCAAGGATTACAACAATAATACGTCTCAGTGTGAGGCATGTGTGTATTCACCACAGCATTGGGGGTGAACCTTAACCTTGATACGCAGGAAGTGGCTACTCTGAATGGCATAACCACTTTTCTCAACATAACTGTGCTTACACTGAGAGTCACCAGTTAAGGTACTTTGGCTCAGCGCAGGAGTTCTGAAGCTTAGCGGATTAACTCCTTGAGGGACTGGGTGCATTTTTTTCTGGGGGTCTGGTTCAGAGATACTTTTGGTCAGTTTACTGTAGAGGATACCCAAAGTGTTGTAGCCTTCCTCTTGAACCTAGACCTAGCTAAGTTTTGGGGTCCTCCACAACTGCCCTGCAGATAGCTGAAGTTTACTGTCCTACTTGAAAGGCTGCTTACCTATCCTTGCTAAGGCACTGGATCAGAGTCTGTGGCTTAGTGCCAAAGACTTGGTGTTCCTAAGCTGCTTGAAGGCCATTGGTCTTTGTCAGGAGGGCTGGGACTTCTCTCACTGTCTTGTTGTGGGGTAGATTGGACACTTGAGTTGCTGGTCGCTGTTCAAGCTGGCA